CATGAAATAGTTGTGGGAGATGTAATGGTCAGAAGTTCTAATGGGTATTGGGCACATTTTTCTTCCAGCTATATTACTCAAAATGAATTGGTAATAAATACTAAAACTATTAAAAGAGAATTCAGTAGGTTGAGAGGCATAGCCAGTTCAAAGAATCTAGTAAATTGGCTAGACTTTTTTTTTTTTTTGACTTTTCAAAAGATATTTTCAAAACTTTCAAAAAAACAACCAAGATTATGATTACAGTTTTTAAAATGTTTTAATGTTTTTCAGGAACCACTTGGGATAAATGAGCCTCCACATTTGGTATGTTTCAAAATAGCCTTACCTTGGAATTGTTAAATTGTTTACTAAAAGCATTTATGCCCTTTCTTCCAAATCTTTCTCTTGCCCTCAGATAGCTTTCATGTGTCTGTATGGCAGGGCACTTTATACAGGGCTCGGTACCTACGAACAGAAGGGCCCGTATTTGTTAGTGGTGGTTCTGGCCTGGATTTGTCACAGTTGGTTTTGTTTTCTCTTGACAGAGCTCCAGCTCTGGCAACTCTGTGGTCATTTTGCACCTCTGCCACTCTTTCTTTCCTATGACCATCTGTTCTTCAATTTTTATTCTTATTCAGCTCTGTTTATTATGTCTTTGGAGGAGCAAGTGTACCATGGAAAAATGGCTGTCTTGGCATGCTTATTATGTAAATGTATTTCTAATACTTAAATCAAATATTCCTTAAAAGCACTAGTAAAATTGCAACCCTACGTCTTTATTTCTAACAGGTTAATGCTTTGAAGGATCGGGCCATACTCTGGAGCCTGACACTTGTTTATTGTCCATTGAGTACTAGAAATCATGCTTATTTAGTGTTTCTGATAACTGTGAGGTCAGGATTAATCCTGTTTGGTGAGAAGCAAACTGAGATTTAGAATTTGTGTCATTTAACATAGCTAGAAGTAGCAAAATAGGCATTTTCTGGTATGTGACACCACTTAACTAAACATTTTCAGGATTTTACATCAAAGAAAGACATCATGATATGAGCAGTACAACCATACTAGGAAGAGGGGATGAAAGATATTGATTCCCGTCTCATTTTAAATAACAAATTTGGAAAAATTTCTGTCAAAAAGCCTAATGTAGTGATTAATTTTAATTATTTGACATTTGCTAGCTTTACATAATGCTGACTCTTTCTGAGAATGTGTTTTTCATGTTCATGTCAGTGTTTATATATTTCACATCCGCTTAGTTTAACCATGTTTCTATTCACAATGCTTCAGGTTTTATTATTTTCTGATTAGCTCAGTCCTATTGGGGAACACTTCCTTTCTGAATATAATTGAGCTGTTGTATTTGGAGATAATTCCTGCCAGACCTTTATTTTGAATCTTTCAAAACTCCAACTGTGGACTTTTAAAACACTTTTTAAATGGAATCAACATAACATAAATAGTTTAAGAGTTAAACATTTTCTGCGCATTTTCTGAGTTTTAAGCACCAATAAAAAGTCACATTTTTTTTTAAGTTCTGTGTTTTCCACTCCTACGTCTTAGCTCTTTTTTATCTACTTCCTTGTTTGGGACAGATTACCCGGAGGATTTTCTTCATAATATTTCCAGAACAACTTGAAGAGAAGGGAAGTAGCAGCAAATGCCCAGTGAAATTGGCCCCCTTCATTTCTCTGGATGTGGCTCAGCTATTGCCTTGTGAAATAAACATTTCTGATAGGCAGATGATAGCTGGATATTTGGTAACATGCAGACAAAGCCTCCTTAGTTTACTCTGTATCAGAGCTCTTATTATTTCAATTGGACCACATTTTCAGAACATTTTGCTTGTTTTTACTTACACAAATAAAAACAAAAGATCTTGGATGACATTCTGGTTCCATTCGGCAACTAGAAAGTATTTATTTCTTTACAAGTAGCTGTGATAATCAGATTGACAATTCAGATGAGGTAATTTTCTCTGCAGAATAAGGAGGAAGTTATATTTCAGAGTTCAAATCAGAGACAGAATGTTTTAAACTGATGATTTGCAAGAGAACTTCAAGCATCCCAAGAAAGGAAAAACCAGAAATTGTATGTCCATAGAGACATACATCATGAGAGTTATGCTAAAAAAAAAACATTGCTAAAGCGTAAGCATCTTATGATGAGATATTGGTGCACAGAACATACCCTTTTATTGAGATTATTTTTTTCCTGTGACTAAAGTCTAATTGCCAACTGAGAATATACAAGATCATGATAATGTTCTTCATAATTAGCAGGGGACATTTAACTTTTTTTTTCATCTATTTTAAGTTTATTGGGGTAACATTGGTTAACACAATTATATAATTTTCAGGCATACATTATCATTTGACATCTGTATATTCTCTGTTTATCATCCAAAGTTCAGTTTCCTTCAACTACTATATATTTGACCCCCTTTACCCACTCACCCTCCCCCTTACCCCCTATATTCGACCCCCTTTACCCCATCTATCTCCCCTTTCCTCCCCACCCTACTAGTAACCACTACTCTCTAATCCTCTGGTAATCACTAGTCTGTAGTCCATGTCCATGAGTCTCTGTTTGTTTGTCCTGTTCATCTGTTGCTTTTAGGTTTATATCTCACATATAAGTGATATCATGTGATTTTCAACTTTTTCTGTCTGGTTTATTTCGCTTAACATGATTATCTCAAAGTCCATCCATGTTGTTGCAAATGACAGGACTTCATCTCTTCTTATGGCTGAATAAGATTCCATTGTATATATGCACCACAGCTTCCTTAGCCCATCATCTATCGTAGGACACTTTGGTTACTTCCATGTTCTGGCCACTGTGAATAATGCTACTATGAACATTGGCGTGCAAATATCTTTTCAGATATGGGTTTTCAGGTGTTTGGGGTAAATACTCAGTAGAGGGATTGCTGGATCACATGGTTGATCAACTCTTAGTTTTTTGAGAAACCTCCATACTGTTTTCCATAGTTGCTGTACCAATTTGCAGTCCCACCAGCAGTGGATGAGGGTTCCTTTTTCGCTGTATCCTTTCCAACATTATTGTTACTTGTCCTGTTGATTATAGCCATTCTAACAGGTGTGAGATGGTATCTCATTGTGGTTTTGATTTGCATTTCCCTAATAGCTAGCAATGTTGAGCATCTTTTCATATATTTGTAGGCCATTTGTATGTCCTCTAGGGAGAAGTGTCTGTTCAGGTTCTCTGCCCCTTTTTTGATTGGATCATTTGGTTTTTCTTGTTTTTTTTGAGTTGTATGAGTTCTTTGTATTTTTTGGATATTAGGCCCTTATCGGAGGCATTGCTTGCAAATATCTTTTCCCATTTAGATGGTTGTCTCTTGATTTTAATGATTTTGTTGTTGTTGTTGTGCAGAAGATTTTATTTTGATGTAGTCCCATTCATTTATTTTTGCTTTTACTTCCCTTGCCTTTGAGGTAAAATTCATAAAATTCTCTTTAAGTTCAAAGTCCATGACTTTAGTTTCTATGTTTTCTTCTATGTATTTTATTGTATTAGGTATTATTTTCAGTTCCTTAATCCATTTTGAGTTAATTTTAGTGTATGGTGATAGACAACAGTCTAGTTTCATTTTTGTTGCAGGTGTCTTTCCAATTTTCA